AGAGCTGGAGTTGTGATACTAATTTCTGACAAAATAGGCGTTAAAACAAAAACTGTTTGGAGAGACAAAGAAGGGCACTATATTGTAGCAAAAGGATCAATAGATCAAGAAGATATAACTCATAAATATCTATGCACCTAACACAGGAGCACCAAAATGTGTGAAGGAAAGACTGTTAGATCTAAAAGGGGAGATAGACTGCAATACACTAATTGTTGGAGACCTCAACACTGCACTACCTCGAGACAGATAATCTAGACAAAAAATTGATAAAGAGATAAAGGATCTGATGATACCATAAATGAAATGGACTTAGCAGACATCTATAGAATTTTCCATCTAAAAACTACGAAATACACTTTTTTCTCACCCCCACATGGAACCTTTTCAAAGATTGACCACATCATAGGGCACAGAGCAAGCCTCTACAGATTCAAAGGCATAGAAACTATTTCCAGCATCTTCTCCAACCATGATGGAATTAAACTGGAGTTTAATTTCAAGAGAAATCCTCAAAAATACTCAAATACATGGAAACTAAATAACCTACTACTGAATGACGCCACAACTACTGATGAAATAAAGTCCAAAATCAAAAGATTCATGGAAGCTAATGACAACGAGCACACGAGTTTCCATAATCTTTGGGACACTGCAAAAGCAGTCATAAGAGAGAAGTTTATAGCCATTAGTGCTCATAAGAGGAACACAGAAAGAAGGCAAATGGATCACCTAACATCATGCCTCAGAGAATTGGAGAAGCAACAGCAAAATCCAAAAAACTCCTGGAGAAAGGAAATAATAAAGATCCAAGCAGAAATAAACAAAATAGAAAATAAGCAAACTATATAGAAAATAAATGAAAGTAAAAGCTGGTTCTTTGAAAAGATAAACAAAATTGATACACCACTAGCAAGACTCATTAAAATGAAGAGAGAAAGGGACCAGATGAATCAAATCTGCAATGAAGCAGGAAATATAACAACAGACAAAGCAGAAATACAGAACATAATTAGAGGATATTATGAACAACTATATGCCAAGAAACAAGACAATCTGGATGAGATGGACAAATTCCTGGACACATATAATCTACCAAGATTGAGCCAGAAGGACATAGAAAGTCTAAACAGGCCCATAACAAGCCAGGAGATTGAATCAGTAATAAATAGCCTTCCAACAAAGAAAAGCCCTGGCCCTGATGGCTTCAGCTCTGAGTTCTATAAAACTTTCAAAGAAGAGTTAACCCCCATTTTGCTCAAGTTATTTCTAAAGATCCAAATGGGTGAATCTCTCCCTAATTCATTCTATGAAGCCTCTATCACCCTTATCCTCAAAACAGATAAGGACAGGACAAAGAAGGAAAACTATAGACCAATATCTCTGATGAATATAGACGCAAAGATTCTCAACAAGATACTAA